TGCCTTATCCCCGGGGTCGGCGGCAGGGGGCGGAGCCCTTACAATTAAACCCATTGCCATGGAAGTGAGCAAGTTGCAACACCTGCCACCCCAGCTTCTTGGGGACATCAATTCCCACATTCCCAACCTTGCTGTAGTCTTGGAGGATCTCTCCTGCTGTCTGTGCTGATCCAATTCATTTCTGCACGTGCCAAGTTCTGAAACTGGCTGGCTGTGGTTTGGTCGGATCATATTGCTGCCGATGACTACAACTGATGCTACTGTCTCAGCCATGTCAAAGTGCCATGACGGTTTTATCCAATACAGTATATTGATTATTGCAGGTTGCAGCCACTGTCTTTTGAACAAAACGTCTCCAACAAGTTCTAGGTACAGCCCTCAGAAATAGGCAGGTTTCTCGATGCTTCAAGCCTCTAGCAGTTCATAATGGGCTGATCTGCCAACTGATCTGAGTGGCACCCATTTCCGTTGCCCACGCGGATGGGTCCTTCTTGAACCCGAGCTGCGCGCCTGAAGCGAGGTGTCCACAGACTCTAAACTGTATTTTGCAACGCTCGGGACGCTCGGGCCTTGTTTGGTGATGGGTGGAACCGTGGAATCCAAAAGGAGCTGAACCGTGGAACCATGGAAGGACCGCTCACATTGCACCTGGTCCTTGAAGCGCTTGGTGGCACTCATGACGAACCTCAGAGATGCGGATGCTGATGAAACGGAGGCCCATTACATCGGACTAAGAATCACATGTGTCTGGTTGATCATCTGTTCATCATTGGCACATGTAAATGGACTGCGCATTGGCAAAAGCAGAACCCAAGTGTAGTTTCTTCTATTTGACCAACCTGACTTGTATGACTGAGACCATCATCTTTAATCTATATACTTGCTTGCTTCGCCTGATTTAGAATGAAACAAGTCTCACATCCCGTATATACAACGGACAACTTGAGATCTGCTATACCAACATCCCGCAAGACCGTACCCAGCGACTGCCCAAGTGGCGCTGAGTGATTTCGGATGGTGTCACCTGCATTGACCATGTCTGTCAGAATGGACAAGGCCTGCCAAATCACCAATGCACACAGGTTTTCACGTTGCATTCAAAGCGGAATTTTGGACTGCTATTAAATGTGCGCCAGTTTGATCAGGATTGTGAACTGACCATGCAAAACCCCAGCTATCAAAGACCAGAAGTCTCAACCCACGTTGCGTCACGCGACAAGGGTATACAAGGGTCCCCGGCCAGCAGTGCACCGCATCCGAACCGGAAAAAGCCGCACGAAAACGGATCGCTCGCGAGCAGCACGAACGTCGCCCCACCTCAGTGGGCTCCAAATCCCGAAGCGCCCTATTGGCGCTTGAGTCAATCTTGTCGCCCAACCGAGCCATGAGATCCTCCCAGTCGCGAGTCGACTTGTGCGTTGTCTGGGACTTGATCACGTTGCTTCTAATCCAAGCAGGAGGATTGATAAGCTATGAAGACCTATGATCAATGTTCAGGAGAATGAAGAAAATGAAGTTGTAAGGCATTGTAAGGACAAATCACCAACAGTCCCTGGTTCACATCCTTGAAGAGATGTTGAGAACCCTCATCCTATGACGGACGCAAGAGCCTCCAAACATGAATTGCAATTCTCCTCTGCTTGCTGAGTAGCAGCAACATCAGGCTCGACTGCACCTCACCGCTTCACACTTCGATCTTGTGTCGTCGATTTCTATGCCTGACCACTGACCACCACAACTTACCTGGGACAAGAAACTGTTCAACTCAAGGGCCCATTTCAACCCCCAGAATTTTGGATAATTTCGGAACCACCTCTGCAAAGAGCAAGTATATAGAGCTCCCAAACATGACTGATCCAATCCACATGAAGTTCATTCATAGTTGCCGTTCGATTAATCCATAAATGGGAAAATAAGGCCTCCTAGGCCGCCAAGGTAGTCGATTCAATGCGCACACCTTTTCTCAGTTGGGAGGTGCAGCCACGCCTCTTTGTCCAATATCCGAACCTGATGCACCAAATGAGCAATTTTTGTGTCACAGCCAGACGCAAAGGTTGTGACATTGGTAATCAGAGGCATTGTATCACAACACATCGCAACACGGTGAGTGCGGAACAAGTATAACAATACAATCTAATAGACTGAAGGAACATAGTATAATCAACTATAATGTATAATATAAGGTAACACAATGTACGATGTAATGCTATACCAGATAATGTTATAATAGTAGCTAACATCATGTGATTCAATGCAATTACCGGTTTTAAGTTTTAAGGAACCAAACATTCATTAACTATAGCCTGCTTTCACCAACCCTGGCCCTCCCGCGCAAGGATTGACGTTCTTTTGTTTGCTTTCAGTGAAGCTCTGGTGTTGCTGCAGCGCAATCTCCTGAGCGATTTGCTCACCGCAACAGTCTTAAGTCACAACAAACGAATGAACCCGCGGACTCGGGCCGCTTGAATATGTCTTGTCAAGGACTGATCAAGTCAGGTGTCCCACAAACGATTCTTCTCGGCTTCGTCCATGTCATCCAAGGGCACGAAGAAGACTTCTTCTACCTTGGCGCGACCTATCCCAAAGTTAATTGAGGCATAGCGGCCAAGGCCGAAACAATGTAGGACCATCTGGAAGCTCAAACCCCTGTTGGATCTGGCTTTGCCCCAAAAAGAGGTTTTGCTGGATGTAAATGTCACTCCGTTTAGCATCAAGCAAGCTGGTAGCGATGCTGTTCGACCAGTGGCAAACCTCCAGTTGGAGAACTGGCCTCATTGGGGTCTGCTGCTCGTTTAAGTCACTTCAAAACTCTGAGAAACTCTGGGTTGGGCTAGTTCATAAAGATTTAAGCCTAAGCTCTTTTTTGAAATCATTGCAATTACAGCCTACAGCACAAGCTTTTTCATGAAAGTGGGATGGCAACGGACAAAGAGTGACGCGCTCCAAAATGATACGTGAACCACCATGAACCCCCCTTGCGCACAATACATACACTTATGTACATTCTGTGACTTGTACATTAATTATTCTATATTAGTCTGGTGACTGCGCCTGACGGCATACTGGCTTGGATGAAGCTTTCGGACATGGTCAAACTTAGAGCAAAGCATAAAAATGCATAAAGCGGTTTGATCAATGGTCCTGGCTTTTTTTATTTCGTAGTAGATAACTGAACACCTAAGGTCTGCGGGTCAAACCTACAAGGAACACTCCGAGACTTGTGTCGCTTTCCGACCTTGCGAGTTGCAATCCTCAGCCACCTTGGCAAAGCGGATGGGTGCCATAGTGCCGTCTTCAAACACATGCTTCTTGTTACTACTAGTAAGGCACCTGTTACTACTAGCGATGCACTTGTTACTACTAGCTTCCTACCATAGTGCCACCAGAATGTCTGCATTTTTACACAAGTTAAAATGGCCATGCTGAAAATCCTGCAAGGTGTTCTTTTTTTTAATAAGGGGGACAACAACATGATGTTCATTTATCCACTATGTCGTCGCCAAAAATGGACGGGCGGAAACGTCGTGAAAAAGCCAGGCTTTGCCTTATCTGCACCCAAGGCACCCTCACTATGAATGACTACAGGTAAACCCACCTCATGTCATAGACTCATAGACTGTCAATCACTGGGGATACTATGTCAACATCCGAAACCAGCTTGGCTGAGTCGGCTAAGTGAAGCTTTTGACAACTGAAGCAAAATGCCAACAAAAACAACTACGATCCTAGATAAGCGGACCCTCCTGGCCATCTTCCTGGTTTTCCAGTGAAGGGGTATTTCTCAACCATGCTTGCGACTATCTAAATTGCAATGATCAAATCAAGAAATGCTAGGCTACTGCTACTTCAAAAATGTCTACACAAAATAGACCTCTGAAGGAAATCCTCCATCCTCCGACGCGACATGTGTGACGCCATGGAACTCTTCTTTGGATGTCGCCACCTGGAGAATTTCTTTGCCCTCTGGTAGATCTGGATGTGATCTTCGCAGTGTGCAAGCAAAGAGGGAGAGCATTCCTGCCAAGTTCTTCGAGCTCGAATTCGGCCCAACAAACGCTCCGTTCTTCGAAAGAGACGGGAGACTGACGCTTGACGGAAACACTCTCTTAGACTGTATCCGCTTACTTGGGCGCGATTTTGCCCGTGTAGGTCATTGGTGAACCTTCTCAAAACAAGACCACCCTTCGACAGCACCTCTGCCCGTTGTCTTCCGATGAAGAAACACCGGCCCTTTGACCTGAAGAGATCTAGGCGATCTTGGCAAGTGCAACAAGGAGCTGGCCATGTCCGTGAAAAAGGGCCAAAGTCTGGTAGCCCGCAAGCTGGAAAGAAATGCAAAGCATTCTGTGGGCAAACGAGGGAATGACATGGAGGACAACTGCTGATCAACTTTGAGTGCAAAACGGTATTGAGGCCTCCATGTAGCTTGACTACTGACTCTCGTCAACTGAGACAGTGACATAGGCAGACTCCTGCAGAGTTCACAGTGCTCCGCTCAAAAGCCGTGTCATTCTTCGTTTGAATCAAGAACAAGAGCTACGAGGGTACACCGTGGTGAACCTTTGCTTGCTCATGAATTGTAAAGATTGCATTGAACACCATCCTTGCTGTTCCAGTAGAAGTCATGGAAGTCCGAGAATTCCTCGAAGCCATCCGCACTGGTGCCAAAATCCTTGGAGTCTTGGAGTGTGATGAGTTGATGAAAAGAAAACGATGAGAGACTGCGTTGATGGAATAAAGAATAAAGACCCATCTTACCCATCTCAATCCTTCTCAGATCATCGATCTTTCACTTCTTCCGACTTCTTCCGATTGAACAGCCATTCCGATCCTGCCGGTCATGGTCGACTTCGGCGCTGAACTTCCTGTCTCTTCTTTTTCTGTTTCTTTGCGTGTTTCAAGTAGGACTCAAGAAGGGGGTCCACGTAACAACAATGCACAAAAAGACTGGGTGGGCAGAGGGGTCACTGGGGATCTCCTCTTTTTTGCTGGGTGTATGGTTGTGTCCAGCACATTCAATATGAAAGCGTGAGGGCGAATTCCCAGGGGCCTAAAGCATAGGATCAATTTGGATCAACACCAAATTTGGATGACATGCAGAAGTCTTCGTATCTATATAGAGGTCAGGCCACACTACGAGTACCAGATGCAAATACACAGATCCTCTGATCATCGGCGCGTGATGTTATTTTGGGTTGCCAGGCGTTGGTCGGAGCTTGCAGTAGAAAGTGGTTGTTGCAGCTGTGCGGTACGAGTGCTTCACATTGGAGAGGTACTTCTGGTGGGCCACAAAACGTTGGCCGCAGAACTTCTTCGCTGATTGTATCAAAGCTGCAAAGGCCATTCCCGCCAGTGTGCCAGGCACGTTGACAGGGTTATCAAAACGCCACTCTCCTGTGGTCGGTCATTCAGTGATGGTGGACGGGGCTGGCAACGCAAAAGCCTCTCACATAATAACAAACCACAGCTTTTAGGCTACGGGTCAAACCCGGGACCCTCACAAAATGAACGACCAGCGGTGTCTACCATGGTTTCGGGATTCGTAGCTTGCTGACTGTTCAGAGTCGGCCTGTAAGATCTGTATAAGTGGTTTCGGGGTGTTTCGGGGTCTTTTGATTTGACCCATCCCACTTCTGTTTCAGCGATTTTCAGATCTCATTTTCCGCAAGTCAAACAGTCCTCCGCCTCGGCCGTTCAGTTTGAACTCGAAGCCATCCTCCGGACATGGGTCCAATGGTCGATCACACCGTGGATGAATTTGAATCTGTTCAAATCTGGTGGGATGATCGGAGTGGCTCCTTTGCTCGCCCAAAAGAGCGCAATGCTGCTCGAAAAGATGTTTGCAAAACCCATGCAAAACCAGCTGCGACATGTCCTTTCGGCAACTACACAATGCCAATTCAACTTGACTGAGCATGCCGACACCTCAAGAGTGTTCAAGTCTGTCCGACACGGGTTCAGGCCTCCGTCCATTCAGCATCTTCCACCTTAAAGGGAAGTCGGGGGCCTTCACCCAGCCCGACATCTGCCACGAAGGACCCTTCAGGCAGGTGGGCCACCAAGACCACATGATCGCCCCATTTCGCCTGCAAGGTCCGATCTTACCAGGTACAGTATTGCAGTAGGAGGTGTATGGTGGGAGCATCCATAGCCAAAACATGCCAAAACCAAATAGAAAAAGGCAGTTGAATCGCAAAGGTGTTCTAACAAGTTCAACTAGTTTCGACACGGGTCAAACTTTCGCGTATATAGCAACTAGTCACTAACAGCTTCATTGGTGGTCTTGAAGGAGCTGTTTGGAGATTCACACTTGCGAGGGCCACGCTTTGGCCACCCTTTGCTCAGGCAACTGAAGGTAGTGTTTGCATATGTCCATGAGTTTTTCAACATATGTCCATGAGTTGTTTTCCATTGTTCCATGTTTATTTTCTGTTTAAGGATGTTTTCTGTTACCTTAAAAATGTAGTTCATTTCCGCTTGGAACTCCGGGAGGCCCACCTCTGGCTCTGGCGCATCACTGCAGTTGGCCGTGTGGAGGGACACTTGGAAGCCCAGCGAGCAAAGGAGGGCGGCAAAGGCATCTACCAGGAGGAAGCAATATCCTTGATTGAAATACCAGAGATCGGCATCTCTTCACACCCCTTCACTCTTCGGCCTTCAACCTTGCAAATTCCGTCCAGTGCATTCCGCGTCTCCCCCACGCCCTCTCAGGGCGACCCGTTTCACGCTCTCCTCAAAGGACAAGGGAGGTCGAGCGCGTTGCAGCTGGACGTCCAGGTTTTCGTAGGCAATGCCTAAGACATGCGCTCGTTTCGCACTAGCAGGTGCAATCGCTCTCTGGCATTCTGCGACAATTGGCGAGATTGAAGAACAGAAAAGCGAGCTTGGAACAAAACTTGGTCTTTTCTCAGCTCAAGTGAGACTTGCAAGCTGCGATCCACATGCGCGGATAGCAGGTCTTGCAGTGATTCCAAGCTGGGTGAGCAACGGCAGAGCTGCAATCTTTCTAAATAGGCATCCACCAGGTGGTCCTGACAGCTGATCTAGGCTCTGGCTTGCTGGGGCAAGTTAGTCGAGAGAATTCGAAGGGCTTGTGTTTTTTTGTGTGCATCTTGTCATGTTCACAATTGGAAAGGACATATTTGTGCATGTATTTCTCCAACACATGGGCAATCATGAAGTTCTGGAAGCCAAATTGGCTTGCCAAGTGTTCTTTTGAGGTGAGCGTGACAGGTTGACGAGAAGTTTCGTTGAGTGAGTCCAACCTGCCACTGTCTCATCATACTGTGCGCCGACACGCTTTGCTGCACGGCTGCATTGATGATCGCCCAAACAACAGTGAGAATCACACTGTATAACTGTTGACTCATTTACTTTGAGTAAGTGATACCTAATGTTTGCCCACCTGCGTTGAGGCACCTGTATTGTGTCCATTGTAGGAGTGCATGTAGGTGGGCAATGGATGGCAATGATAGTTTTGTACTGTACGCTGGGCTGACTTATGTCCAAACAAGTCAGACTGATCTTGAGTGCGGCGGTCTAGTCTTGAGATAGGTCAACTTATTTATAACTACCGTAGCCGTAGCCACCTGTAAGCAGCGGTCCGGTTCCGTCGTTGACGTGCGCCGACCGGACAATGGAGTCTCCTCAAGTTGACGCTGCAAGAAGATGTGACCCTCTTGCTTGCAATGTCTCACTGTACAAAGTTCCATCCCAGGGTCCGCCATGGGCTGAGCCGTGGCTCAAAAGCACGCCAAGCTGGCGCTTGATTCTGGAGCGCCTTTTTGAGTGAAGACAGAAGCCAAAACATGTGGGTGATCTTCTTTTCTAAAGCACAACATCATTCCGTGACCCCAACCAGTCCTGAGTCCTGAACGTTAAGGCCATTAAGGTGAATACTAATGGCGGCCCAGAGAGGGACTGTTTGCACTTTTTCACGGCTTGAGAATCAAGGAGCTTCATCAAAATGATTGCCGTCAACACGTGTTGTTGGGGTCAGGCTTGGCTTCGAGCCAAAGGCCGGCGAGAACGAGGTCTCCAGACGATCAACAAACATGTAAAAAATGCAGAAGGAGTCACCAGCCTGCCTTCATCTCTACAAGTCACCCAAACTTCACCAGGCCTTGGTCATTCAATTTCTTGAGCAAGGACACCATACAGGCGGAAGGATTCCGCCTTTTGTGCGACGACCTGATCATGGACGCTGTGTGTGTGTGAACCCCAAAGCAACAAAAATGCAAACCAAAACGACGTGGATTGAAACCCCATGCCAAAATCCAAATGGATAGCAATTGGTCACGGCAGCATGTTCTCCAAAGTCTACACGTCTGCCCAAAAGACAAATCCTCCAAAGAGTCTTCCAAGTGCTTCAGAACATTGGCTCTTCGGCTCTCGCCATGTGCCTCTCCCATTGTGCCAGAGCTTCCATAGCAATATCTGGGTCCGCCTTCCGAAGCGCCGCCTGGGCTATTCAAAGACTTCGATCGTTTTCATAAAGGACTATCAACGAAAAAAAAAAAACTTCATCTCAACAAAGTTCTCTAACTACCTCTCTAACCTGGCCATGCCATGCGTCTCTGAAGAATGTCTTCAAGAAGTTCCGTCAAGGCCTATCAAGAACCACTGGGCATGGCCGAGGCATGGCCAACTCCCCCCAGTCCCCACTCACCTGAGCATGGTCGTCCAGTTCGTCGTCACCCAGGAGGCCTCGATCCTCAGATGACGAGCTTAAGGGATTGCTGGAAGCCCGGCTCCAAAGCATACAAAACCACACCAGCCGCCAAACAGCTTCACAGGTCTCATATTCCTCAAAAGAAAACAAACTCAAGGTCGTTTCCTCGCCTGCCAAGGTTCGCAGGTGGGAAAGAGCCCCATATGTCCCGTGTTAAAACCTTCCCGAGGCTCTGGCCTGCAGGTCTCGCAAGCGTTCCTGGACAGAACACCGCCGCGAAAGTGCTTCTTCACAATTGTGTATACAGGAACATGCGACAGGGGGAGCCTCCAAAGTGATCGTGATCAAACATCTGGGATCGAACATGTAAATATGGGATGATATGGTGTCTGTCAGCCTAACACGCAAAGTGCGTAGAAGAATGGCTAGCTTTGTGTCAAATGACCATTTAACCTATATGTCTAAGTCTTCCAGAACGACGGTTGAATGACAAATTCCTGCACCACTGGAAGAACAACTCCATGTCTACCCGTCTACCCTCGCCTCCCTAACATGGAGTTGAGTTGTGGAAGTGCGTCAAGCAACAAACAAGTTGAGTGACCAAACCCCTGCCTGCATCACATCCCAAGCATAAACCAAGGTTATACCAGCATAGACCCCAAACAGCTTCAAAACGATTCGCTTAGACCAACATTAGTCAAAAAACGACTTCTTGGACGCCTTAAGTACCTTCACCCCAAGAGCAAACTGCTTCATCAGTGAATTTTTGTCGCATTGACATCGCTATTTGTTCGGCCACACTCCTCTCCAGTAAACCGGCGGCCACAGAGTTCAGGGGCGCGGCCAAGACAAGGACAAGAGGAGGACAAGACCCGGACACAGAGCCCAGAGTTCAGGGGTGCTGCCAAGACAAGGACAAGAGGAGGACAAGGCCCAGCCACAGAGCCCAGCCACAAAGGACAAGAGGAGGACAAGGCCTGGACACAGAGCCCAGCCACAGAGTTCAGGGGCGCGGCCAGTGAGTGTGGCCAGCTCTTTTTTTCTAAGATAGAACCCCAACAGTAAACTGTTTGGTGAATATAAACATATTAAAACATCATGAAACAACATTGAGCTGGGGGATGCGTTTGTGTTTGTTGCTTTACAGTAGAACTGTAGTTTCTGAGAATGTTTCCTCTCTACAAGTGTCTAAGTCTGCTGTGGCTCTTCCATCATGTCTTCCATCTTAAAGCCATTCCGAAAGGTATGCTAAGGCGATGCACGTACGTGGTGGAGACTGCATTGAGCACAGCCGCACCGAGCGCCGTGGCCTCCACTGTCTCAGCCGTGGCCTCCATGGCCTGGAGTCGCTTCGACGACCGTCGGACGACCCGCACGACTTGGCTCCCTGTCCGCAAAGCGTGGGATCCCATTACGTCCGGCTTTACTGAAAACGTGCTTCAGCTCAAGATTCAGAATCCAGAATGCAAGATATCATATAGTGCACATCTATGTCTCCACACACCTGATTCAGCTACATCCCGCTGAGGGTCGCGCAGCGGACCTCCTCTGCCACGGGGGAAACCCACCACAAGCCAAGCACTGCACAGCGTAACACTTCCCGAGTACATGTGTAATGAGTGAAATCGTCGGAGTCTTCGGGCCGTGAAATCGGCCAGTTGGCGGCTAAGTCTTTCTTGAGGGATGGCGACAATCCCCAGTTCATCCCAGTTCTCAATGCACTCGGAGCCGAGTTCAGCTCGATTTCTCCAGACCCGTTTGGAATCACCCCACGGTGGCTATTAGTTCTGGTAAGGTCGTGGGTACGCCACACGACCACGCCTGAATCCTGCCCGGACCCTTCCATTCAAAAGGTGGGGAACACTAATTAGTTTGCTGAAACTACCCTTTATTCAAACGCTCTTGCGACCTCGCACTCTCTCCTTTTTCGGTTCTCTTTCGAGAATGCCCACCTCCACCAGACTGCTTGCTTTTTGACTTGACGAAAACACATGAATGGCTGCGTGGTCATCAAAGTCTATCGGTGTTCTGTTGGTAGTAAAGGTCATCGGGCGCTCAGATGTGGCATGGGATCCACTCATTAAAAAGCATGCTGTCATGGACAATCTGTTAATGGAGGAAGGAGCATGGTGCAGAATGTGCAGAGGTCTTTTGGTCTACATGCCAAGTACTAGTACTTGCAGAGATTCTTCAAACATGCACTGTGCAAAACTCATGGCAGGCAATGGGGATAGTGCTTGCAACACACACGCACCGGCAAGCTCTTTCTTGTCTCTCTGAATGCACCATCCCGATGCCTATCATGAAACCTAGCTACAGCTGATCTACACCGAAGCAATCGCGGTTGATCAGATGGTCATCATTCTTCATGCAATGCACGTCTCAAAACTAGACAAGAAAAGCCTGCCCGACTCGCGTGCTCAATGAGCCAGAACCACTGGTTCTTCTTTCAAGGCAAGCAAGTGAGCTGTTTGTGCTGATTCAACTCTTGAAAAGGTCTGTAAATACAACACATTAGTGTAGGAGTAGTCTGTGCACATCTCGTGCGTGTGATGAAGGATATTTTTCGGTGCTAGCACGTGGCTGCACTTAAGTGGGAGACCAGCTGCCACCACATCACCATTCCCTGCTCTACTACATGTGCAATTTATGGTTTTGGCAAATGCTCAAAAGCAACCATCGGAAAGCAGGCGGCTGGTGTGCTCGGTGAGAAATAAGAAAAGCATATCCCATGCAAAGTGTTCATGCTGCTGGGCATACAAACTTGTAATTAACTGTCTAGAGAGGCATTGCTCATCTAGTGGGTGTGAGCCTTTAGACGGTATTGTTTGAAGCTGAGAGAATGCCTGTGCGACTCTGTGAGAAGTAGAGTGACCATTGCCACAGTTGTTGAAACCAAAAGCCTTTCCTGCCATTACCCCTAAGGCACCTTCAAAGCACCTTGGCAAAGGACTTCTTCAACTCGTCTCCGTTTGGACTGAGTCAGGCGCGGTCGCTGGATGTGTTTCAGAAACGAAAACTCTTGCGTGCCATTAGCCATTGTGCACCCTACAGTAGTCCAAATGCAGTAGTCATAGTTAGTCATAGTTAATTCATAATCAAGTCTATATTGTTCTTGCGGATTATTGTTTTTCTTGCGGCATATTGCATCATAGGCCAGAGGAACTGAATCAGCACGCAGCACAGAGTTGGTGATACAGTGATAAGTATTCTAGTCGGTCCAATTTGCCTTCATGATCCTTCATGGACTTTTGCCAACTTCTGAGCGGTCTTGATTACAGTTTGATGTACGCTTCTGGCAACTTTTTCCAACGACTATCGCGTTCTCTCCATGATGAACAAGAGCACTTCGGCATCACAAGGTCCAAAGGTCTTCTGCAGGCACACATCAAACCAGGGTTGCAATGCCTCCAGCACGGCCAAAAATATACTTATCTATATGTGTATGTATATATATATATACGTATGTATATGTTATATATGTACATCATAAATGCATTGCCGCGTCATGTTCCATAGGTAAGAAACTGCAAGACTTGAACTTCATGACTGGTGAGCGTGCGCTTCGGGTCAGTTCAGCTTACCTAGGACATCGGAACATGAATTCATCCCAACAAAGGCCATGATCTCTTATAGCACAGCTGCTGTCCCACGAAGCAACAGCATGAATTTGGAAACGGAGCAGGAACGAACCCACTGGTGGCGTCCAGCCTTCATGGGGTTTTCATGGTTCCGCTCTTCGCTTCTGACTTTATGTGCCAGAACCAGCATGGCATTGGGTCTGGTGAGCTGAAGCACTGTGTCCTTGAGCTTGGGTAAGGCCGAGGTCGTGTAGCACCTCAAAAGGTGTGCTGATATGCCGTGGTCGTGTCCCAGCCGCACCGCTTTTGGGAAAAGGTGAAACCTTGGAAAAACACGATTGGTGATGTCCATATAGTGTAGAGATGTAGGGATGAGCATCCCGATGACAGCCAGACTGATTCAGGCTCATAAACTCAAGCTTCTTCTTTAATCTTCAGGATGCTGCTCATGGAACCGACACAAAGATCCAAGTTAGTACACAGTCATTACTATGTTGGACTCACACCTGTTCGCCGAAATGAAGGCTTGGACTAAGCCGATCTTCCCCCTTCACTTGAAAGGCACAAGTCCGACATGAGGACCACATCAAAGGAGCTACCATCCAGGCGTTGAAGCGCATTGAGGCGGTGTTCCTCCAGGCCCCAGTCCTCGTTCCATCTTACGAACAGAGATCTGCTCCGTTTTTTTTCTTATGAATTATAACTATAACTATTCTATATTACAGTACATTCATGTGACAAATTGATTGACTACGCTCTGTCTATTCAGAGGTGGATTTGAAAAACATGTTTACAATGCCTCAGAACAGGTTGGCATTCGCCCCAGCGTCAAGCTCCATGATGGAGGTCTGCAAATCTTGACAGTGGGCAGCTACGTTCAGCGCAGTAAGTGGCAGCACCGCCTTTTTGTCACTGAAGAAAATATGGCCTCCAAGCACGTGAGCTGCCACAATTCCGGGCAGGCCACAACCACTGCCCAACTCCAGGATGGTCTTCCCAACGAGTCTGGATCTGTCGTTATCTTTAGCTGCTAGCCAGTGAGCTAAGGCAATACCTGATGCAAGGAATTCGGGCAATACAGTTTACTACGATGAAATACACATATATAACTAGTTATGAGATGTCGTGAAAATGAGCAAGCTATATACAGCAAAGGGGTGTTCAAATATCACGGTTGAGTACCAGCATCCCACAAGCGCCCTCCAGTTGGCATATCTTCGCTAGAAATCTCTTCTCGAATACGCAGGATTTGCCCTCCTAGTTCAAAGCACCTGAAAGAGTGCTCGTCTTCCCGATTACCTGTCAGCGGCATGGAGAGACAAGAAAGGGCTGCATTCCAGTCAGCCATCTTGCAGGTCAGGGTCGCCATGTCAGACCCCAGCCTTTCCACAGGCGACAAATGCCTGAGGAGGGCATGTTCCGCCAAGCAGATTGTGACAAAATACAATCAAACCAAAATGTGTTTCGTCCCACACCAGCTCAAACGAAGCTCCGCCTCAGAAAGCTCTTGGACTCGAAGTCTGCACTGCATCTCACTTCGAGATCTCGAGCAAATCGATTTCTTGGGCTGCGGGATCTGCTCCGATCTTCGCCAACCCGCGACCCGGATGACTCGGATGGCCAGCTGGAGGTCGTGACCAGCAGCCGGAGGTCAGTCGCACCCTCCACCTCCCTGGGCAAAGCACCTTCCACTTCGGCTTCAACGCCTTGGATTACCATGCCATGTCTGTTTGGTAACAGCACAGAAAGAACAACAAGATATATGCCTGTGAATCCAAAATAAATGCAACACCGCAACAATGTTGATGTTATGGCAATTTGGAGGCTGTAGTCTTTTTTGCCTGCTGTGATTTCTCCTTCCGTGCAAGGTGGCCTAATGAGCAGCTGCTCATCAACCCTGCCAAGCGACCACCACAATTCTCGTGCATGGTGACTTTCAAGTCTTTCAGGACAAGCCCTTCCAGGCACCTTCCATTCTCCACAAGAGAAATCTCCAGATCAAAATCGATGGGCAAAGGCAGGAACATCCTGAAACCAAAGAGGTAAAAACATGGAAAGACACATTCATGCAGCGTCTCAAGAAAGACTTCGACACCAAAGGTACAAACATTCTATGAGCATCATGCTGTGAGCATGGTCACCACCCTGACTAATTATTTGTGTATCTCGATAAAGGTCTGCCCCCAGCTCAGACTCAGAATAGGTCCGAGCATCTCATTGGTCAAAGCCACCGAGAAACGCACCTTTCCCTGCTTGGAAAAGGGAATGGACCAGAAGTATGTGCGCAAGACCATGGCTGCCTCTCAGCCAGGGAAATGTGCCGACTGCTTGAGACTGCAAGGTTGAATCTTTTCGAAAGACCCTATGTGGTACAGTATGTTCCATGCACACCTGTCATGAACCACGAAGCCCTGCATCATGTCGGTTTCTGTATTATAGAAATTGTTGGAGACTCTAGGAGAAGCTGCTGCTTCACAAGGTCGGAGAAACCATAGATGTGGACTTGTTCAGAAACAGCTGCTTCTATCTGTGTGTGTCAAATTACAGCCAGCAAGTGCTTGTGAAAGAACCACCCTGTGTGACTATGTGTGGAATACGGTTTATACGGTTTCCCCTCCCACAAGCAGCCGCTGTCCTGTCCAGGTCCAGGACGTCCCCTGGGCCCCCGAGCGCCATGGTGGCGAGGTTCCGCAGCAACTGCACAAAACACCGGCTGCAAAGGGTGAACCAGCCTTTTGAATTGGAAAGGCTCTAAGGCTTCTCTAAGGCCCCCTTGGGGCCTTCATGTGAAAACGCTGAATGTTTGGTCAGCTTGAGATCCGATTGGTTGCAGCCATTTCCGAAGTTTCTTCCCGCACAATATTTGCACTACCAAGTTCCCATGTTGACAACACTTGGCAACCTCCACCTCCATGCTCAACGATAGATACACAATTTGACAACCTCCGCCTTCGTTTTCGGCACGGTTACACATTTTGGCGGCCTCAACTTTCGTGTCGATGGCGGTGACACACCTCCACCTCCATTTTCAACAACACATACACAATTTGGCAACTTCCGCCTTCGTTTTCGGAAATAGCTACACTTTGAACTCCACCTTCAGTTCCGGCGACAGTTGCACTTTGGCAACCTCCACCTTCGTTTTTCGACGACAATTACAAAATTGGTAACCTCCACCATCGTTTTCGGCGACAGTTAAACATTCTAGCAATCTCCACCTGCGTTTTCGACCACAATTACACACTTTTGGCAACTTCCAGCTTCCAGCGAAATTTCCAACAACTGTGATACAACACTTTAATGCAGACGCTTTGGCGCCTGCCACAGTCAATTTCGACAGTCGCGCACTTCAGCAACGAAATTTGTCCTTTCTATACGTCTCCACGCTTCACACGCACTATCTCCGCAAAGGCGCAAAGGGCTCACCGCCCCCATACAAAATTCGCGTTTACCTTCCATGTTTGAGCGCAGGGTTCCCGCCACCTGCCCAGAACTCGCATTTCGCCTCACGTTTGAGCGCTCGACGCGCACGATCTCCGCAAGGGTTCATCAGCGTCGCCGGAATACGTATTGGGCCTCGCATCTGGGCACCCGCCGCACATGAACACGAACTCCGCAGAGGCGCATTTTCGTCTCACGTTTCAGCGCTCGACGCGCAGTTCGCCCAGCGCAGCGGGAATTCGTTTCGCCTCACGCTTCCATACTCGACGCGCACGATCTCCGCCAAGGGTCACGTTTCGCAAGCCCTGTTTGGCCAGACCCCCGCCTAAAAAAGAAGAAGCTGTTTCGACGTTAACACACGTTTACTTTTGCATGTGTTTACTGAAGCAAGACCTCCGCGAAAGCCAAGGTTTTTCCTCAAACAGTTTACTGTTAGGGTTCTCAATTCTTTCTTAAGATGTGTCCGCCCTTTGTGTCACTGCTGGCGTCCGCCCTTTTTCCACTGGCCATGTAGCATGTCTGTTCATGTGTCTCCCAGGTCTGTCACTGCTGGTGTCCGCCCTTTTCTGCTGGCCATGTAGCATTTCTATTCATTTGTCTCCCAGGTCTGTCTGTAGCATTTCATTCTTTGTCTCCCAGCAGCTTCCTTGCGCGTCTCCCTTCTTATTGGTCCTTGTGTCCGTCTTGTCTTCCCTTTGTCTCTGGTCCCTTCTTGTTGGTCATTGTGTCCGTCTTGTCTCCCTTCTGTTTCCTTTCTTCTCCCTTCTTGTCCCCCCTTCTTGTTGGTCATAGTGTCCGCCTTGTCTTCCTTCTTTCCTTTACATTTGCCTCCTCTCTCCCCCTCTCGCTTGCAACCCTTCACATTTGTCTCCCGCCTGCTCTGCCTTACATTTGTCTCCCAGCTCTGGGGTGCGTGTCGCTTGCAATCCTTTACATTGTCATTTGTCTCCCTGTGTCTACATTTGTCTCCCAGCTCTGGACTGCTGTGTCCGCCTCTGCCTTGCAATCCTTTACATTTGTCTCCCAGCTCTGGGCTGCTGTGTCCGCCTCTGCCTCTGCCTTGCAATCCTTAATTTTAGATTTGTCTCCCAGCTCTGACTGCTGTCGGCCTCTGGCTTGCAATCCTTTACATGTGTCCTCGCAAGCCTCATTTGTCTCCCAGCTCTAGACTGCTGTATCCGCCATTTGTCTCCCAGCTCTGGACTGCTGCAGCCGCCTCTGCCTTGCAATCCTTTGTCTCCCAGCTCTGGACGTCGCAAGCTCTAGTCGCAGAGTGTTCCGATATTGAAAAACACAAACTGTTTGGGGTCTATGGCGGTGTCATGTTGCAAGTGACTCTACTTAAGCAAGAGCCCAGCGTAAGTGAGACTTGACGTTGCGTATGAAGTTGCTTGGGCATGATCCCAGCATAAGTCAACCAAACAAGATCCCAGCACCAAAGCAATTTACCAAATCAAGACACCAGCACCGAAGCAATGCTAGCGTGGCAGCAGGTAGCATACATACAGCTGCAGCTGTATATGTTGCAATGGTATTGTTACGTCCGTCCGTAGCCGTAGGTTTAGAAAACCACCTGTGCAAGCTGCAGGTGTACTTATGGCATACATACACACGCAGCTATATAAGTCCCAAATGTCTGGTAGAAAACCACGCGTGCAAGCTGCAAATGCAGCTCATAGCGTACGGTGGCATACATACAAACGCAGCTTCAAAAGATTGGGAAGAAGCAGCCAGAAAGATAGTTCCCAAATGTATTGATGCAGATGCGCTGCGCAAAAGCTTTCTACACAAAAACCCTTCGCAAAGAACTCCTGTAAGGTACTACGTTTGCGTTGTTCTGCTTGAGTCTACTTTAGGGAGTTGCATAATACCTGGAATCGTTCACTTTCATTGACAACCACCTCTTTGTTTTCAGGCTCTGCTCCCGCACACCTCCCGACATGTTGGCAGAGTTGCCTCCACCTTTGCAGGTTTGCAGGCTTCTGCTGCAAGATCCAGCGTGCGGAGGGGCTTCCTCCCAGGCACGCTGGTCTTGCGCCTGCCCTGTTCGGGTCACGCTTTCTGAACTGGCATTTTGCGCGCGTGAAACTCTGAGCGTGACTGATTTGGATTGGTGAAGCTTCTGTCGCGTTAAAAACTCACGACTCCGCCCCATGGAGCAGAACCATCGGTGGAGCGGTTGCAGCGGCGCCCCAGCGCTGGAGCGCGCCGGGCTTTGCGCACCTCTCCCCGAAGTTAGCAGAGTAGACAGCGCACCACGCGGCGACGTCCACGCCGTACACCTCCGCCGCCGAGGGGCCACCTTTACGCAACTGTCCGGGAAGCACAGCTGCTTCCCAGACAGCGCTGGGTTGATGGCCAGCATCCCCTTCACCACGCCTGTTCTCCTGAGGCCTTCGTTGTCCTCAGCGCGCGCGTCACAGAGGGAGAATGTTCCAGCTTCCACCTCCACAGCGGAGCTGCCCTGTAGCCTGCGCCCATTGCCCATTTTTGCTACGAAGACCTTCAAGCTTTGTCGTCGGGAATGCTACAAGCTTACTTCAACGTGGGAATATTGAGGGGGAAATCAATGCAGTCTTTTGAACGCCACACCAATCATGCCTCTGAATTTTTTGCATTGCCTCGACCAGACCTGAGTCAACCAAAGCGCGTTGGAGGCGCAACACCCTCGACCACGCCACGAAACTGCTGCGCATCGTAACGCCGGCGCTTCTCATCCTTGGGACAACCAGAGACTCTGGCCAACTCCTTTATCCAACAGGAGATCATTTTGAGAATTACCTCTCACCCACAAACATGTCTCTCAAAGTGAACATGGCACATCTCTATATACAACACACACCCACATTTCACGCACCAAATTCCAAATCAATCGCCACATTTGTTGCATGGGGTTTGTGGTACTTGATAATCACGCATAAGTTGAAGGGGTTCCAGGTCTATGAGTTGGTTGCGGTGTCGATATATGTTGCGCTCCCGTCATTCGGACCGCAAGTGCGCGAAACGAACGAATTCATTCCCAACAGGTTTTAGGCGCATACTACTGTGGAAACACCAATACAAGCCTAACAAACCCAGCAGGAAACATGAGAGTATCTCACGAGTGTATACTAGGACCCCTCTTTTCGCAGAACTGAAGAGGGTTTGGATATACGTCTGAGCGCCTGTCATCCTCCTAGAGACATGGGCAGGGACCCTAATATTAATGTTTTGAGTTTTGAGTATTAGTATTAGTGTGTGAAGTCATCATAGATGGATGACCTTACAACACCCCCGCGGGCCGGCAGAGGGTGTCAAGGGTGGGTGGGTTGGTGGAAAACTTCCTAAACCTCTTGATCTTGAGCCAAAATGGCACCAAGATTAGAGTTGACGCCTGCATGTTTCAAAATTTTCAAAACCCAAATGACCCTACCCAACTCATTTTTGGAAATCAAAAGCAAGACAAACCGATTGACCTCAACCCTGGTCCGGAACTTTTCCTCTTCTTGCCTCCTCGTGGCCGGTTGTCTTCTGGCCGCGCGGCCATTGCTGTGTCCTCTTCTTGTCCTCCTGGCATTGTCCTCCTCCGCCGCACAATGCTGCTCTTGTCCCCCCCTTCGCTTTCTTTAGTCTTCTTGTTGTGCTTCTGTCCTCCTAGCGTCGCCTTCTTGTCCTCTTCTTGTCGTCCTGCCACTCGCAGTTTTTCTTCTCTTGGCTAACCCTGTGTCTTCCCCTTGTCCTTCTGACTCGTAGTGTCCCCTCCTCCCCTCATGGCGTCAGTTGCCCCACCGTTGCCCTCCATGGCCGCGCTGGCCAACCTCGTGTCCTCCTCTGGCGTCCTCTTTTGTGTTCTTGCGGCGCTTGCAATTGCTGCCAAAGAGTTCTTTTTCTCAAACAATTTACAGTTGGGGTTCTCTCTCATATCTCAGAACAAGTTGTCTATAGTCCACGGTGGCTGCTGTTGTTCCCCACATTGACGTGTGGGTTTTTGTCTTTAGCGCTGCGGCGCTGTATCCGGCCTTCCTCCTCCTCCCCCCACCCGTCCTCCAACCGCCAACCACCAACCGCCAACCAACCACCAACCACCGATAGTCCGCTCCTGTGTCTGTCCGGTCCTTTTATTGTTCTCTCACCGTCGTCCTCCTGCCCTTCTCTTGTCTTTCTCCTGACCCACTCTTGCCCTCCTCTTCTCGGGCCGCGCCTGCTATCCTCCTCTTGTCCTCTTCTTGTTCTCTTCTTGTCCTCCTCTTGTCCTCGTCTTGTCACTGTCTTGTTGTCTTGCTGTTGTCCTCTGGCTGCGCTGGCCAATCCTGCGTCCACCTAGTCTTTCTGTTGCCCTCCTGCCGTCGTGGCTGCTCTCCCAAGGCAGGGGCTGAAGGCTGGGGTCGCGGCTCCTCACTCACCACAACAACAAAATCGACGAAACTGTTTGGGGCATCTGCTTGGTGTCCTGCTGCTAACCGCTAACCCTGGCGCTACGGTCGCCTCATTGTCCAAGCCAAGCGACGGAAAAGAGGCCCCACTCTGCAGCAAGATCCACGGAGATCTCTGCTGCTCCGTCCTACGGGTATAAAGCGTGAACTCACTCCTGTTCACCCATCGCCTCGGCTTTATAGATTGCACACCGCGCGAAGGTAGAACACCCACGGTTGAACGGCGTACTCGTCTACTAAGTTAGCCGAAGGTGAAAGCAAAGAATCCTTCGAGCGATCCGCGCCATCCCCCGAGTTGGAAGAAGGCAGGTTCGCCCCTGGGGGTCTTTGCCTCGCGCGTTGAGCGCCTCCGGCGTAAAGCGGATGCGGTACATTCCAGGTAGCGTTGGAATGCACCACAGCCACGGCGTTAACAGCAGCTGTAGCCGGCAGTACGCCTCAGCAGCTGCTTGCGCGTCTCACTGACGCACCTGTCTTAGTAACTTATGTAGGAGAGGGCGCGCATAGTAAAAGATGCGCAAAATACTTTTGAGAGGTTCAAAGCTACATTTGCATGTATGCTACAAGGCGCTCCAAGTATACGCGCAGCTCACACATTTCTAGAGCGCTACAAATGATGTATAATGATGTGATAAGATGAGACTCGTGGACACCGCCAATCCTCCCGTTCCCCAGCGACACGCCAATGGCACGGACTAATGCAAATGCACTTTCCACCGTGGCCGCGCAAAACCGCATGGCACAGCGACATAAAAGATCAAATTTGGCAACACAGAGCGCAGCAATGTAACATTCAGCATCGTGGGCGCCGCCAAACGTCCCGCTAGCCAGCGATGCGTCGAATTTGGCCGCACTTTTAATTTGGGTTTTCATGTTTTCGGGAAATGTTTCAAAAACATTGGAATAGAGCAGGTTTCTTATCAGCACCTAGCTAATTACAGCAATTTCGTGTCCATAGCAGAGACACAGGTGTCGTAGCTGGCCAAATACATGGGAATAGTGCAGGCTTCATAGGAATAGTGCAGGTTTCACATTAATTGCTGGCTAGCTGACTATAGACTAATTTTGGAGCTGTCGTAGTTGGCAAAATACATCGGAATAGTGTAGGTGTCAGAGAAATTCATACCTATCACAACAGTTCGGTGCAGTTAGCAGAGAAATAGTAAAGAGAAAGAGAACTAGCACAGGAGGCATATATGATTGGTTAGAAGTTTTTGCCCCGGGGAGTTCACCTTAAAACATTGATTTCGTGGCAGGCGCAGGTGTTGGAGATGAAGTGCAGATTTCGTGGCGCGGGGACGGTGGAAAGCAAACTAATGGCAAAGCAAAAACAAAAAGAGAAAGGAGAACCGCTGCCAAAGCAGAAATGCAACAGAAGAGCAGAAAGACAAAAACACAGAAAACAGAAAAGCAACAAAATCAAAAAAGCAGCAGAAGCAGAAAAGCAGCAAAAGCAGAAAAGCAAACAAAGCAAAAAACAGCAGAAGCAGAACAGAAAAGCAACAAAAGCAAAAAAACAGCAGAAGCAAAAAAGCAACAAAAGCAAAAAAGCAGCAGAAGCCAAAAAAACAACAAAAGCAGAAAAGCAGCAAAAGCAGAGTCCGAAAAACAAGTCCGAAAAATTTAAACGAAAAAATCCGGAGAAAAAAACGTCATCCGTCGAATTTACTTACACCCGCATGTTGCGTTCTTTTCTTTTTCTCAGTATGACATGGACTCACGCAGTCGCACTTTCCACCGCATCCGCGCAAAACCGCCTGAGACAACGCGCGCAACAGACTGAATCCGCCGGCTGTAGCCGGCGTGTTCTGTGGATGTTCCTGTTGCTCCTGCTGTTGTGTTGTAAGTCTTTCCCCTACGCGCGGATTTTTGCTACCCCCCCCCCCGCCTTCTCCTCTTTACTATGCTATATTATATTATACATTGTATCCCTTCTCCTATGTTATATTGTCTGGTCTGTATCTGTCTCCGAGACACATTACTAACAACAGTGTGCTTCATCTGCCTTTAGCTCGACTCATGGCCTTGCCAACTTTCCTGTGAGCCCAGGCCATGAAACCGTGAAGAGTCAAAGAGTCACACTGCAATACATGACCAACCACGTTGCATGCAACCCAAAGGCACAAAGTACATGGCCACCTGGAAAGCCGGCGGAACACGCCAGCGGCGGTTAAATACAACAATGCAACATTAATCATTGCCGGCACCGCCACGTCACCGGTTCTCAAGCCATGCTGCTTCACTGCTAGAGCTCCCAGAAGCTGCTTCTCAGAGTCCCAATTGTGCAGTTCTCAACCACCTCTCACGAGCTGCTTCCCGCACTACATGTGTACTAGCAAGTGCCGATTTCTGACACCACACCTCCCAGGACCGCGCTACCGCTACATTTGCACTACCAAGTTGCCAGTTCTGACGCCACAGCTCCTAGAAGTCCCAGAATGCATCTTGATGTCAGTTGCCCCATCGCAACCTGTCGCCTTCCAAATTCATGTCACCCACCGTCACCACCATGCATCTTTTGCGCCGAGATCACGGGCCGAGTACACATGGCCTCTTTCTCTGCAGAGCTCAGCATCGAGAACTGTGTCTCAGCCGCATGAGTCCTGGCAGCCCAGGCAGATTGGACCAATACCACGTCATCCCTTGTGACACGAAGGCCATTCTTATCACAGGACGGCGAGAATCCGAGTAAGATTTTATGTGGAGAGAGCGGCATTGATGGCCACTCAGAGAAATGCAATTAATATGCTGGGCAAGGTTACTGGGTTGTACACCCTCAGCCATTCTGATCCAGAATGGAGCCAAGTATCATGTTTAATTCATGTTACTTTCTTAGAGTAGTACAACTGTAGCATTGTGTTTCTGCAAAACCGGCGATTAGGGTCTATAGACCGACGATCGTCATAGCTTTTTCAGGGTACCCTTCCACCTTGGGTATGCAATGTGCAAGCTTAATACTGATACTGATACTGAACTCTTGAAGCAAATCAAAATGAAGAAGCTTTGAGGTCATATATGGTCATATAATCATGTGCTGCAAGTGAGACGAAACGCTCAAGCCAGTTGAAACGGATATTTAATCAAAAAAGACATCCCTTTTGGACCAAAAGGTTTCTCAAAGCAGAAAGGCCCGAGGAGCTCTCCCTCTCTCCTGAGGAGCTGTTGCAAATACTCGCCGATCCGCTCCCCAGTCAAGGGCCGATCCGTGTCATTGGCGGCGGTCCTCTCCATCCGTCTGGACATGTAGCACTTGGTTGGAGTAGAAAGGCAGTTGAATCCTAATCAACTGATACTTTTGTGAAACGTGCGATGCACGGCTGGAGGATGAAACTCTTGCCTGTCCCAGCATCAAAAGAAAGTGAACAATGGAAGAGTGATTGTGCCTCCGTGTTGGCATCAGCAGCCCGGCTCCTTTTTCTCCACTGCGATTCGCTGAGGGAGGGTTGATATGTACCACAAAATCGCTGGAATCGCATTGCTCACCTTGCGCAAGTGACATGCCGCAGAATGCGCAGTGGCCCCCAGCGTAGTGGGATGCGAAGACCAACTGCGCACTGCCCAGCGAGATGTTTGAGTCACAGTGACACAGATCACTGTGACTCATCCATTTAGAAACAGTGACCTAAAATTTGATTTTGGCAAATCTGTATGGGCTACCGTTTGTCATTCCACTAAGGCGTGAGCTGCCTGGGACCGCACAGGAAAATCACAGCTGTCAATTCTTCTACAAGGTGGATTCTTAGTCTCTCATGAAGGTTTATACAGCAAAACTTGGGATTCTCATTATTCTTGCTTCTACGGCAGTGCGCCAGCCATCGCTTACCGTCCATCAGGAGGCTTCCACGAAGCTACCACCTGCCACTCGGATGCCATCTGACACTGTCGGTGTCAAAGGACTTAGAACTGTTGAGAACTAGTTGGTCATTGGTAGTGATCGCGACTGGCAAAACCGTCCGACGAAACTCACAAAACCGTCCGGTCAAGAAAGGCTGATGGCCCATGATGGCGTGAGTGGACATCATGGACTATTCATCTCTTAGACTGGTGCTTGGTTGATCCTAGGAATCCTACAGGTCCCATCACTGAAGACCTCAAACATCTAATGCTACCGTGCTGGGGGAAAAGTAGCCTCAAACATCATTGTTTGGGATCTCCGCGCTGTTGCCTCCCCATGCGCTCTCGGTTGGTGGCCTTCCACGTGCCAGGTTCTCTTTTGCAGCTCTGAAAGCCAAGCTCCTGGCACACCAGGAGAACCCACTGTAGAACTCTCAGAGATCCAGTGTCACTCAGCAGGCCGGCGCCCAGTTGAACTGCAAGTTGGTGATCTAACATTGTATTGTAGAGTAGTAGATATAGTTGTATTATGTTGTATTCTAAGTTTACATATGTAATCTACGTATATATTCTGACATGTGTCAAGTTCTCAGACTGTGCGTTACGTCCATCCCACCCTCGCCTGTGCAGACTCCAGGAACTTGGGCATCATCCTGGGGGGTGACAAAACACAAACAGACCACGAGAGTGAACATCCTACCCCCTCCAGATCGATCCAGAAAAAAAACAGTAGTAACAGGTGCCGTACTAGTAGTAACAAGAAGCTATTAGAAACAAGTGCCACGCTACTAGGAACAAGTGCCTTACTAGTAGTAACAAAGAAGCTAGTAGTAACAAGTGCCACGCTAGTAGTAACAGGTGCCTTTGTGAGCATCTCTGTGACAGAAAGTGTTGCTTGCTAAGGAATTGTCGACGTACCCCAGGAGGCACACGTGGAAATATCATTGGATTGCTTGAGGCGCGTAGCAAATGCATTATCGTGTGCGCAAGTCCATTGGAATGTTTGCACAAATATGACAATATGCATCTTAATTAGTTGCTAGTCCATGTCTAGGTGCAACGATCGCTCTTGCCACCTAGATCCACTTGGAAACATCTGAGGGGCCTTCCCACACTTCAAAAAGAAGACCAGTCGAAACATGGTGTCGAAACCTTGACCTCCGCGGTCGAGCGGCGACTCAAGGAGCTCTGCGAAGGAGACCGGGCTGCCACTGATGAACTCCTGGGTGACGCCACGGTGCGCCTCAGTTCGACCGTGCTCCCCGCGTCAGATTGAGACAGAAGGAGCATCTTGGAATCTAAACAAGGCCGAATCGGCCTGGTCACTGTCAAGGCTGGTAACTGTCAAGGCTATCCGTTCCACTTGAATAAGCTCTTCAAACAAAGCAAGCCAAAAGTCTGCCAAAAAGGGTCAAGTGTGTTGTCGAGTCAGAGACTGTCACCTTGTCAAAGCATCTTTCCCTTTTCCTTGTTTGTTTCTTTCTTCAGATGTTAGATCTCTAATTATGTGTGTTCTTGTGACAATATTTTCCTGTGGATCGTCCTATTTTCTTTAGATGTCCTCCACGCGTTTCCACACTTCATTCATGGCCAACCTTCTGCCTTTCTTCAAGAAATGCGGAGATCGCCTCCCTCGGGTTCCGATACCAAGGGGCATAGTACCACCAGGAAGCCGCTCCATCACCCCAATTCTCTACAAGATGCTGGGAGTCCACAATGACCTGGTCGCAAGCAGAGCCGGGTTTTAGGCAGCGAAACGCATCCTCGAAGTAGTGGAGAAAAGTGGAGAACCTAGACTCAGCATGTGATAAAGTAATTTCCATTGGTTTCTACCTTTGGGATTGGAGTCTCTGTAAACTGGCAGGCGTACAGCGCACAGCAACAAAAAGCAACTGCTGGGCATTGCCATAATCATTAGGTTGCGCCCCGGAAGTCGGCTTGAAGTGGAAAAGCAAGCAGAAGAGTCCATGTCTCTCACGCTGAGCTGACTGGCATGAGTAGGAAACTCTGGAATCTCACGGACCTTGGCTCACAGGGTTGGGTCATCCAGGCATATCCCCAGTCACCAAGGCATGTCACCACGCCCCATCTGTCCAAAGCAAACCTGGTATGCTGCCTATTCATATTGTCCTGCATGCCGCATGATACAAAACTGCATTCACAATCGATTCTTTATGATTCTTGGCATGCCGTGCTTTGCGCTCTGATGGATCATGTTCACGATTCTTCAAGTCAGCCATTCTTATTGAAGAAAACATGACATGGATGCCTTGAATCCATCATTTCAAGAGTCCAAGTTTGCCACCCTCCACCACTTCTGAAATTGAAAGAACTGAATAAATGATTGAATATGAAGAAACCGAGGCTTGGAGCTGTCTGGGCTGCCCAGCCAGTGAGGCAAAACTAATGGATGCGTCGCAGCGCTCCAACTCTGCCTCTGAGCAGTCATTGAAGAAAGTGAAGAGAGGTTTCAAAGCCTCGAGGCCCTGTCATCCATTACCCAAGCCTACAAAGCCAACAAGATCAATTTTGGTTCACCAATTTAGCTACTAATTAGTAGTGATGCCCTTGTTACTAGTAGTTTTTTGCGCCTAGTAGTAAGGCCAGGAGCTACTAGTAGCGTCCTTGCTCCTAGTAGTAATGCCCTTTGCTACTAGTAGAAAGTGTTGGACTCAGAGTCCAAAGAGTCAATATGCCCAAGACTGCCATCTTGGCATCTCTTCTCGTCTTTCTCCTCTCACAGTCTCCTCTGCAAGGGTTTTTTGCGACCCCCCATGATGGGCAAGCGCCCCGGGCACCTCTCTCATGCACTTTTTCTTGAAAGTGTCAATGAGGGACTCCAGAAGCTTCTCTTCATGAGCCTCACTTTTGCCCCTCAAATCCACCCTTTCCCAGGCAATCCTAAAGGGTTCTGACCATTTCCATGAAAAACTCTTGACTGAAGACAAATTCAATCAAGATCATGTTGACATCCCCCGCTGCTCAGGGCCGCGCCTTCCACTTGGCTGCCAATTTCTCTCTGGCTTTCTGTTCTTCCCTGCACATTCAGAATGCAAGCCCAACCCCTGCAGCCACATCCTGCTGTAGAAGTGGTTTGTTCTTGCAGTTCTTGCAAGCAGCAACTTTGAGTTTCCAACTTGCAGGCAGGCATTACATGTCTTGCAGAAGGCATTGCATGTCTTGCAGAAGGCTGGCTCTGCTCACCGCAGTTCGCACTAGAATGACCCATGCAACTCGCAGAACATATTCCACTCTTTTTGTATCTCCCTCTTTTTCAATTCAGGCCCCTAAGGCATTAAAGCTCGGTGTTGATAAATAGACGGATTTGGGAGGCCTTTTTTCAGCGACAATCTTTGTTAAGCTCGAAGCAAAGGACCTGAGTCCAATGCATCTCCACAACTGAAAGGACTGTGCCTCTCAACACAAAGCCAGAAAGGACTGTGCCTCTAGAGCACAGCACTGAGAGTAGTTACATGTGCAGTCTGTTTGAACTCAAAGACCTCCGAAACTAAGCCCTCCGCATGGCAACACACCTCAATCATTCGCACCCTGTGTGTGTGTGTCCTTGCTTACCTCCAATTGATGAGATGATGTGTGTTGTGATATGTTTAAAAGGCCCTAGACATACAATAATTCTATCCGCCGACCCCACACCGTGGGGTGAGGCGTGACTGTCGATGTTAGCCTTAGCCTTAAGCCTTAGCCTTAGTCCTTAGCCTTAGCCTTAGACTGGAGAGCTACGGAATTTTCGGGAAAGCGACCTGACCAATTGATTTACATCTTGGGGCACCCTCTCGACCCGCGCGGGAAAATAAGCACGGTCCAAAATGGTCCTGGGCTCGAATCCCGGGCTGGTCGCGGCATGGTCCCGGCCAATGCCCTTGCTTTTTCGTAGATTTTGTCACGTTTTCTGTTGGCTTATGCGATTTTCAAAGGCTTTTCTGGCATTTTCCTAGGAGTGCTCTAGGCTTTGTCTTTTTGGGTACCTGCTTTGGTGGTGCTGGGTTGGGTCTAACTTCTTGGGCAATGATATCCTTTATGGGGACGAGGGTTCAGCATTACGGGGTTCATGCAAGAGATGACGTCCGATGGTAAACCTGGGAGGTACCCAAAAAGTCGACTTTTGGGGTACCTGCTTTGGTGGTGAAGGGTTGGGTCTAAATTCTTGGGCAATGATCGGGGTTCATGCAAGAGCTGACGTCCGATGGTAAATCTGGGAGGTACCCAAAAAGTCGACTTTTTGGGTACCTGCTTTGGTGGTGCTGGGTTGGGTCTGCACTCTTAAGGCTAAGGCTAAGGCTTAAGGCTAAGGCTAACATAGAGCAAGGCTAGCGCTAAGGTTCTATCCCTTGGGGGTCGGCGGCTGCAGGCGGTAGCCTGGTAAATATAGTATTGCAGTATTACTGTAATTGTTTGGCTGTGCGCGCCAATGCCGTTCAGAGGCACTTACATATCCCTACACCGAGAATCGGAAATTTCAATCAACGCGACTGGCAACTGGCAGCCAGCTGCTTTTAGATTTCCGTGGGAACTGAGTCTCAAAAGCAATTGCCTCGGGTAGTGGGGAAAGCTCTTCAGTTTCAGCAAATGTCCGATCACCACGCCCACGATCAAAGCTTGCTTGTGGCACTCAGCTCTCATGTCGCAAGCTGATTCTTCCACAACAACCCCTCAGCAGAGCGGCTACGCATGGGCAAGAGCAGGAAAGTCAACGCCCCAGCGTTCAACCCCCCTCAACGGAGCCGCAAACAGCTACATGAAGCAAAGTTACATGTGCAGGAAATCACATGAGATTTATATAAATTGCATGTTGGCAAGAAATATGATTATCTTTTCGCCTTTGGACATCTTTTGGACCCATGAGCAAAATGATCAAACAAAGAGATGCCGAAATATGATGAAAAATCGATATGGAGAGCCAATCATCAATGTGTTGAGCAAAACATAGCAAAACGATGCAGGCCTAGACGATCTTTACCCCAATTATTCTAACTGATGGAAGGCAGAGGTACAGGTCATCGCGAGTCCGGTGCTTCTCCTCAGTGACTGAAGGACCAAGGCCAAATCGTCGGCCTAACAACGGTAGAGGCCGCTCGTAACAGTCATACATGGACTGACCTATCAAATCGACAAGGCACCTAATGCATCCTAGTTCCTAATCCAATCTGAATAGACGTCTACAATTCACAGCGTATCACACAAAATTCACTGCAACTTTCACTGGCCGAAAGTGCCTAAGACTTATGTCTGTTCTGCTGCGAAAGAAAGCAAGTGTCTTGCCGACTAGCCTCAATAGGCGATCTGCAGAAGAGGCTTTGGAGCAAGGCTGGAGAAACCTTCTCGGTGACATACCTCTCTTTTTCCTTTGTCTTGACTCTTGACCCAAGTGTCAACTTTAGGCCGGCATAAGTACGACCTCTTTCTGCCTTGAGGTCTCGATCTCACTCGGAGACGGGTCGACAGCGGGCACTTGGTCAGCACCTCTGGATGTTTCTTCAAGGATTTGAACTGGCGCAGCCTCGAGAGCGGTAGCTAAACAAGAACTCACGGCATTCCACTATCTCTGCTACTTGACACATCTGTTCCCTGCACGAAACAACCAAGTTCCCTGCATCTCCATGCTGTTCTTCGGTATGTTGGACGGTAGGGAGGGTGCCGAGGCCAGCGTCCGCGCTTCCCGTGATGCCCGCGGGGCTGAGGAGGGCCGAGACGCCCTCAGAACGGGTTGCAGGCAGGGCGGCCGCCGCAGACGCCCGTGGGCAGTGCAGTTGGGCAGAGACAAAGAACTGAGCTCGGGACTCCACAGGCTTTTCAGCCTGTAAAAATCAGCTGAAAGCTTTGATGGCTGAAAGTGCGCAGCGCAATCGGCCATTTTTCACATCCCGGCGTACCGGCACCGCAGTCTGTGGTGCTGGTGGGCAAGGAGGGGCCGAGGTTGGCCGCAGGGCCCTGAGTCAAAAGTTGGAGAGGATCAAACTTTAGGTTGAGGCCGTGTTTTCTTTTTGTGTTCATAGTCATGAAATGTCAGTGAGATTATAGCTTGTTTTCCAAAGTACGGTGGTGCTCGAAGTAATGATTCCAAAGGATGAGCGACTGTGATAGCTAGAATTAAATCAAAAGTTGAACATGCCTCCGCCAACGTTCAAACATCTAAGCAGCAACCACAACTCTTCATCTCCTGAGACTCCGACTCTGGTGGCACCTCCAACGCCGGTGGCACCTCCGCAGCAGGTGGCACCTCCGACGCCTCCGACGCCTGCCACACAACGCTGTAGGAAAAAGGAATCAAGGAAGCCCTGTCCTCAAACTCACTTTGCCATGGAAGCCTTCATTGCCCGATTGCACATTCAATCGCATTCATCACTTGCCGGGCAAGTTGTCTGATGGCCTGGTTTGATGCCATACGACCCGCAAAAAGGGCTGTGACAGACCCTCTGGCCTACGCAAAGACTTGAAAATCTTGAAACTTCTACAGCAGCGTTCAAGAAGTGACAGAATAATTGCAACATGTTGAAACAGTATATGTGTTTCAAGAGGCTCATGATCGGTTCTTGGTGCGAAGGATGCTGAGAGTTCGGACTTTCATATTCGGGACATCGGCAACATGCCTAGTGACGGTCGACCCCGTGGGCGCACCTTCTGCACCTCACCATTCATCGCCGGGTGGGTGCTAGCAATCTCTGCCCTCAAAGCACAAAGCTGATGAGGTAAGTAGAAGCAACTTGCAAGCTAGAAAGTATGATTTTGAATCAAGTGTGTGTGTATATATCGTATAGTATCCGCCGACCCCGGCTGAAGAAAGGGGGAGCGCGCCAGGGATTAC